GCTCGGTATCTCGCACTGCTGCTTTTTCGAGCCAATTACAGGTCGTAACACTCGCCACAGCCCACCGCGATCACCACGCGCGATCTCCCTCTCGTACCGCTCTCGACTCTCTCTACGCACAGCCGAGCGGCACTGGCGGTTCAGCTGCTTATACTCGGCGCGGCCGCCCGCGCTGAGGGCTGCTCGGCGGCGCCGCATCAGCTGCTGAGTTTCGGCCGTGACAGGGGGCGCAGTACATTGCCTGTCGCGTACACGCCTCAGCGGAGCCACGGTATCCAGCTGACCCACAAAGATCTGCTGAAATTGGCGCCACTTGTCGTCAGCTGTAGCAGAGCAGAAAACAGCGGTCCAGCTCGTCTCGTAGAGTTGAAGATTGAAAGCCGGAGCATCCACTCTCGCTAACGCGCGTCGGAGCACGTATGAGCCGGTAGTGCTTGCAGGTGGATACTCACGGGCCAACAACACTCTCGTAAAATCATGTGGTCCACCGTAGTGACATCGGGTGACGCCCACACGGCGCACAAGGTTTGGCCGGCTGGTAGCGATTAGGTCGAGGAGGCTGCCCGCCGGACGGTAGGTGGGCCGTTTTACATTGGCGATAAATATACCGTATGTGGCTAACAGTTCACTCAGCGAGTTGCCAGACCTTGTCTTGAGGAGACAGTTGTTAAAGTCACCAGTAATCACCAGTGTGGCACGTGGAAACCGTGTGTACATGAACTGAATCTGGCACTCCAAGTCCTCGAAATCTATAGACAGTTGGCGAACAGTCTTCGAGGGTACTCGGTAACCGGACGCTACTAGCACAGACCGGTTTTTACTGAGGTGTACTAATACCCACAAAATCTCTAAATTAGAATGAGTCACACCTGTTGATGGGGTCGATATCAACTCTGAGCACAGCGTGTCTCTCACCAATATGGCCACACCGCCCTTATTCTTGGGAAGGTTGGATTGATCTGGTCGATCACGCCTGTACAGTTTGTATCCGCTCACTGTGAGAAGTCGGTCAGGAACATTCGGAGCTAGCCACGTCTCGCATAGGGTTAAAATGTCAAATCCATAGACCTCGTCGATGTCATGACGGACGTCTGGTAGCTTGGGCTTGAGTGATTGTATGTTCAGATGGCCGACGGTCAGCCGGTGAGTCCCTGTGTCGCCGTGACGCCGCCAGTTAGCTCCGCCCCGACTGCCCCGCCGCCTGGACGCGCCCCTGCCGCCGCGGCGCGGGCCGCCGGTCGGTGCGGCCGCACTAACAGGCTCGCTGACAGGCTCGTTGACAGGTCGCGCCCTGGGGCGCCGCGGGTCGGCTCGGCCGGCGGGCCGCTGCGGCCGATCAGAGGCGGACATCAAAGCGTCCGCCGGCCGCCCCGGACGGCGCGGCCAGGGTCTCACAGCAGGCTGGGCGACGTGAAGCACGACTTGCAGAGCATGCAGCAGGATGAGTAACCTGATGACCATCGCCGCTGCTCCAGGAGTACCGGCGTCCATCTGTATTCCAATGTCCGCTATCGATGTTCCACACCAGTTTTCACACCGATGGATTTAGAGTCACTTAACACGCTCACTTGCACACATGCCACGCGACCGTGACCTCACATTCGTTCTTCAACTATCCAGGAAAGAAGAAGGCACTTGCTCACTCGCACTCTCTCAACACTGTAGGTCGGCACACAGGGGTGGAGAGGAGAGCCGGGAGCGCGAGCGGCCCGTGGCGCTGCGCTCGACCGACAGAAGGCAACTGAGTATGTTTTCTTGATTCTATGGTTCGGCGTGTTTTTATTCAAAATGTATGTATTTCAACGCAGCTTTTGCTATCCAGGGGCGGATCCAGGAAAACTCCAAGGGGAGGGTCATGAATCGAAGTGGTGCCCCTACCTATACCCAAAATTAAAAACTCAACGGATTTCGTCCACTTCATTTTGGTGGTGCCCCCATTTTCAGTTTTTTTTTTCTTTTTATTTTTTATTTTTAGTCAGTATCTTAACTCTTAGCCACAACCACATTTACCAATTGTAAGCAAGTATATATGAATGTGCTATGTGTATATATGTTGTGGAGTGGACGCTGAGTAGTGAGTACTTACCAGGAACGTTATCAGGTAAGCAAATCGTTGTCAGTCCGACGAACTTGACCCTGGCGTCTAAAGGGTCTGTCCTTGACACTTCAGGCTTATCAGGGGCACCAAAGTCCTTCCAGGGACACCACAAACCTGTCAGGGGCACCTACGGCCTTGTAGGGGCGCCACAGGCCCGCCAGGGGCACCACAGGCCTGCCAGAGCAGGGGCACCACAGGTCTAGCAAGTATACACGACAGGCCTGTCAGGGGCACAACGGGCCTGTTGGGCCCATGAGCACCCCTAGGGGCAGGGGCACCACAGTCCTTCCAGGGGCACCGCAGGCCTGTGAGGGGCACCAGCGGCCTAGCTGGGGCACCAGTCAACACAGGCCTGCCAGGGGCACCAGAGGCCTGCCAGGAGCACCACCGACCTCGCAGGGGTAACTTGGGCCTGTCAGGGCCCAGGGGCACCACGGGCCTGTCGAGAGGCACTTCAGGCTTTTCAGGGGCACCATAGTCCTCTCCGGGCGCAGGGGTAGCAGGGGCACCAGAGGCCTGCCAGGGGCACTACAGGCCTAGCAAGGGCACCACTGGTCTATCAGGGGCACCACGAGCCTGTCATAGCCAGGCATCTCAGGCTTGTCAAGGCCCAGGGGCACCACAGGTCTGTGAGGGGGCACCAGCGACCTAGCAGGGGCACCAGTCAACACAGGTCTGCCAGGGGCGCCACAGACCTGCCAGGGGCACCACAGACCTGCCAGGGGCACCAGAGGTCTGCCAGGGGCACCACCGGCCTCGCAGGGGCACCTTGGGCCTGTCAGGGGCACCACGGGCCTGCCGAGGGGCACTTCAGACTTTTCAGGGGCACCAGTCCTCTCCGGGCGCAGGGGTACCAGCGGCCTAGCAAGGGCACCAGGGGCCTGCCAGGGGCACCAGCGGCCTAGCAAGGGCACCAGAGGCCTGTCAGGGGCACCACAGGCCTAACAAGGGCACCACGGGCCTGTCAGGGGCACCTCAGGCTTGTCAGGGCCCAGAGACACCACAGTCCTTCCAAGGGCACCGCAAGCCTGTCAGGGGCACCAGAGGCCTGCCAGGGGCACCACAGGCCTAGCAAGGGCACCACTGGCCTGTCAGGGGCACCTCAGGCTTGTCAGGGCCCAGGGGCACCACAGTCCTTCCAGGGGCATTACAAGCCTGTCAGGGGCACCAGAGGCCTAGCAAGGGCACCACAGGCCTTGCAGGGGCGCCTCAGGCCTGTCAGGGGCACCACGTGCCTGCCGGGGACACTTCAGGCTTGTCAGGGGTGTTACAGTCCTGTCAGGGCCCAGGGGCACCAGGCCCGTGGTGTCCCTGCTAGGCCTGTGGTGCCCCTGGCGGTCCTGTGGTGCCCCTGTCAGGACTGTGATACCCCTGATAGGCCGGTGGTGCCCCTGGCGGGTCTTTGGGCCTCCGGGCCGCAAGGGGGGGGCCATGACCCATGTGACCCCCCCCTTGGATCCGCCCCTGTTGCTATCTGTTTGGCACGAACACATGGATATTATAACGTCTATGCATACAGCATATTATTCCTCAGGTATATAAGGGAAACTGAGCAACAAATGCTCCCTAAATAAAAAGCTCCCTATGTCTCACCAGCAATGTCAATAGTTATTCTATCACATCGCCCCTGTTTGTTAAGTCGAAAATGTGCCAAGTCTCTAAAACGCCAGTGATGCATTGCACACACGCCCTTAAGACTGAAACAGACTCTTTCCGCGTTCAGGAAATCGCATGCGAGAGCCTATTCAAATACATTATAATTCTTCTCGCATCAATCGCTTGCGGGAGGTGCGTGCGATTGATGCGAGAGTGCTTCCATGTATTTGAATAGGCTCTCGCATGCGATTTCCTGACTGCGGAAAGAGTCTGTTTCAGGCTTTAATCGGATAACGAATTGCGAGACAGCCCGCCAGCGCTTCTTCAATGACTTACTTATTTAGGAGGGAAATAACTAACACAAGACACCGATTGTAGTCGCACCTAAATCCACCTCTAATAGCTCTGATCCATTAAGAAATTGCCTGCTTAATATTGACAAGGGACAATAACATAGGCAAGGTGGGGTGCGGGCAGGGAACATGCAAGTTGGAACAGACTTTTCGATCTAGATGCACCTGAGTTTTGTCATTTCTGTAATCAGAAATCTAAGGACCTGATTTTATAATTTGTTGTGGAGGTTTATGCGGTGTTGGCTTCCTTCCCATTCCGTATTTGATTTAGCTATGTCTTTCAACTGATCATGAGAAGATGCATCACCGAACACCAAGGCTTGAGAATTCTTAGTTTGATGATTTGTTGTTGTGCATTTCTGATTCCCATGACGTCAGTAAAATCATGAATTTATTCAACCGAAAATGGCATTCTGGTATAAGAACGTGTAAACGACGCTATAAGTATGATGAAATGGCGGCATCGTCTGGCTATCTCGGAACATTTATCAGAATGTCGGATTCACGATTGATTTCTTGCACAACGATCTGTGTCCAAATCAGTTTTGCATTTATATGGCATCGAAAACGGATCGGAAATGCATCTCGTGTTTGGCTGTTTACAGAAGTGATTGTGAAATGCAGGGTGCAGTGTCGAATGATTTCCCCGCTTCGCCGCAAACTGCAAACTGTCGACCAACGATTGTCAATCACCAGCCACCAGTCACCACTCATCAACCATCAACACCTGTCGGCTGTCAACCATCAACTGTCAGTCACCAGTCACCAACCACCAACCTCAGACCACCAACCATCAACGCTTCACCATCAACCATCAACCTAAAAGTCAACCTTCAATTGTAAATCACTTATCGGTGACACTCTGCCCTCACCACCATTTCTTTCCCCACCATCAACCGTTCTTACTAACGCTTCACTAGCGCTAACTCGTTAATCTATCTCTTTTCCCGCAGATACAACGGCGCAATATTCGTGCTGACGTACTTCCTACCGCTGACCGCTACCACCTACTGCTACACGCGAATGTCAGTGGAGCTCTGGGGAAGCCAGTCCATCGGAGAGGCAACGCCGGTTCAGATTGAGAGCGTCAACAGCAAACGACGGGTGAGCTAACGCGGAGCTGGAGTCAGTCAAGGGTGAGCTAAGTAGAGTCAGGGTGCAAAAACAGAGTTTAGATTATTGCCAGGTGAGGTGATCCAAGCACTGAAGGCTGAAGCAAAGCAGAGCTAGGAATAATGCCATTTCTTTTGTGGCTATTTATTATCAACACTTTTGAGTGCACTGCGTGCAATATATTTTCTATAGATCATGTAAATAGCCACAAATATTTTTCCAGTTTCGTCATGATCTGGCCAAACTGCAGTGTGTTTTCATCAACATCTGTTTCATATTTCATATATGACCAGGGCCATCTCCCCTCACATAAGGTTATGTTGCCACAAATGTATCAGGTCGTTAATGATTGTCTCTGTCTCTCTCGGACCGCCCAGATGATATGATCATCTAGTTAATAGTCTGCTCCCCACACATAGTTACATAATCTATGATCTTCCCTATCTCAGTCAGTATACCCCGCCCCCTGGTTAGTGGTTAGCTCTCTCCCCAGAGATTGATGCATCATCGGAACAGAATAGCTCAGAAAGCTTAACTTCATGTCTTTCTCTGTCCATTCGAACGTCTTCATGAAATGATCATGACTCAATGCTATCTTTCTCTTTGTGGTAGGTGGTCAAAATGATGATCGTTCTGGTGGCCATCTTCGCCGTTTGCTGGCTGCCCTACCAAGTCTACTTTCTTGTGATTCCGCTCTTTTCCGAGCTGACCCACGAGCCCATAGTGCAAGAGGTGTTTTTAGGTAAGTAGAAATCGTAATGAGGTTTCCTTGTGTGCTGTTTTATCTGTTTTATTGGTGTTTTTATTCAGGCCATGGGACGTTTTCAGCGGAAATCGTGAGTGTTGTCAATGCTATGTCAGTTATTGCCCGATGTTTTTGTGAGACTTCCGTCTGTTGCATCAACTAGTTGTCTGGGGAATGTTTGGAATGGTTGGAATGTTTCAATCAACGCTACTGGCAGCGTTTTCGACCGACCATCGGCCATAATTTATTCCATAGATTGTCATACCACTAGTTGCAACTGAACAGCAGGTGTAGAATGGTCTTCTCTAGATATACATTCCTTGAAGCGTTTTTCATAATCGTTGTTCCGCCTAGTGTAAGCCGTGTTTGTACGTTTGGCACCTGACACCTTAGTAGTCTCATTTGCAAGTGAGGCGGTGGAATGTCATCTCGGTTCCAAATTTCTTAACAGGCTTATATCAACACAAATAACTGTTTACATAGACGCAAATGGCTTTTTGGGTTCCACGAGCACATAACAATTTCGCAAATTATCATTAATTATATGGGCTATGTAACTGTGCTTTCATTGGGATCATTTATTCATGACTTAAAAGCACCGTTTCTTGAGAAAAGTTGGCATGAAATTCGGCTTCTCAGAAACTCAACAATGCTTCCGGTCCTGGAACTATTTCAGCGTACAATTTACTCCGCAGACTGTTACAGAATACTCAACGTCACTCTCTGTATTCATTGCCTGGCGCAAACGCTAAAGATTATCTGATGTTTACTTCACAAATCCCGTGCTCAGGCCCGGCAGTTTTCGGGTTAACATTCTATCTCAGACAGTTTGCGTCTTTATTCTCATGCCGTGAGCCTACCGGAAGACGAATTACTGATGCTACGATATGGTGCTGTTATAAGGCCTGACCTGCATATTACATGCACCAAACCCACACACTTTTCAGAAGCAACTTGTGTCGTGGTTTGTTGTTGGTTTGGTGTGTGGGGAGTAACGAACTTCTGTGTTGATTTCAGGTATATACTGGCTCGCAATGAGTAATTCTATGTACAATCCTATCATCTATTATTGGATGAATTCTAGGTGAGTACAGCACGGTGCTAGAGTGAGAGTATGCTATAGAGTCCAGTGCCGCAGTAATAAAGAACGCTTCGCTCCCCAATCGGTCTGACATATACTCGTACTGACCCACCTATGAAATTTTACGTAACCAGGAACTAGTTTATGAAAGTGACACAGTCGATGATTGTGTTGGAGGGAAACTTTGCATCGCTTTCCCAGAGATGCTTAATTTTTTACGTAGCTGCTGACATCATATTTACAGTTCAGTGGGCCTTAATAATAAATTTATAAGCCCAACGTTCCTCACTTACTCAACCCAACTGAAAATTTTATTACACCAGCGTCATGATATCATCTTTGTAGCCTCATCAGTACGTTACCTAGTAACCTTGCCTTCTGTCAACATAATACAAGCTGTGTCTGCAACATTCACGACTCCCTTTCCTGCACAAAACCCCTTATGGATCTTCTCTGTCAAAACTTGCTAGACCCTCTTCTCCTCTATCTAAATATCTTGTTCCCCCTCCACAGATTCCGTATGGGATTCCAGCGCGTATTCCGCTGCGCCGGCCGCATTCCTCAAGGGAACGCCGCGCCGCAGTACCGTCAGAGGAGTAGCCACCAGACTACAAGAGTGACAATGAGTGACCTGAAGAGCTGTACTGCGACAGCGACAAACGGGACGGCAGGGCGGACCGGCACTGAGCTCGCTCTGCTGCATAATAGTGGTAAGAGGGGAGGAGAGAGAGAGAGAGAGAGAGAGAGAGAGAGAGAGAGAGAGAGAGAGAGAGAGGGAGAGAGAGAGAATGATAGAGAGAGAGAGAGAGAGAGAGAGAGAGAGAGAGAGAGAGAGAGAGAGAGAGAGAGAGAGAGAGAGAGAGAGAGAGAAGAGAGAGAGAGGCAGACAGAGTAGGGAAGGAGGAGGGAAAGAGGAGGGAGGGAAGCCGGGATGCAGTTTGAGTTAGAGGGCCACAAAACGCGATGCCTCTGACTCCAATTTCTAAGCAGTCGAAGTGACTGTACCGTAAAACTTGACATCACTGTTCGCGAAGTGAAAGCCTCTCACTTACTCTGTTATACTACCTAAGCTTATATCAAGCGTATCTTACGACAATCAAGCTGTTCATGGCGATGTTATATCCAAAGAAATTGTCAACAGTTCCTCGTCAGGGGCCGATGAATGATGATTTATATTTCACACTAGAACTGACCTACATTTGAGTCTCAGAACTTCCGAGTGACAAATCGAAGTTTTTAAGGCGACGCCCTTTGACGAGCGCAGCACACGCAGAAGCGTTATGGCGATTTCAAACGACGCTGTCGCCTTTGCCAGAAGGCATTAGTCATTCCTAGCACTGCTGATGTCAACAAGACTTCTTTGTTTGATGTCTCGTTGGTTATTGCCTTTTATGGCATGCCTTTTATGGGAGACTGTAAAAATGACGCGTAAATCATTTTGTCCTTCAAATGTTTTGACTTCCGGGGTCAGCATTTCGATTGGCAAGGAGCTTTCGTCCTCACCAGCACTATCATAGGTGCTAACTAGATAATGAATTTACTGACAGCTCACAACAACATTATTTGCTTTCATCAACATTTTATGCCAGTAAACCTATTTTTTTATGCTTTTGGTCTAAAAGTAGCATTAACTGGGACAATAAATAGAGGTTTTCTCATGTACAGAGTAAGTGAACATTATTCGACTTATAATTTTTTGTCCTCATTTTCGTCCCGTCTCGCTTCCGTAATCATCAAATTGAGTTCGTAACCCAAACTTCGATGGACTCCTACTAGGGTTCCTACTACATTTATCAAATAATACCATTCCCGGGGCCATTAATCTTCATCAATCACGTCTCCCCGATGGAACCAACTCTCCCGCTGCTGATGGCCTTTTGCCGTCACCCGCCTTCCCGGCGCTACCTTTTGTTCGTCCCCTCTGCTCTGTCTTTGGAGAGGGGTTATCTACCTTTCTCACTTTTTTGTTACTCTGGCTTCCTCCGCTTCTCTCTCTCTCTCTCTCCTTCTTCCTCTCTCTCTCTCTCTCTCTCTCTCTCTCTCTCTCTCTCTCTCTCTCTCTCTCTCTCTCTCTCTCTCTCTCTCTCTCCTTCCTCTCTCTCTCTCTTTCTCTCTCTCTCTCTCTCTCTCTCTCTCTCTCTCTCTCTCTCTCTCTTTCTCTCTCTCTCTCTCTCTCTCTCTCTCTCTCTCTCTCTCTCTCTCTCTCTCTCTCTATTTCTCTCTCTCTTCCTCAGTGATTAGAGGCCCTCTCTCCCTACCATCGCCAGCTCTTTCCTTCAGACCGTCGCCAGTTCTTGCTCTCACCTCTTGCCATACTAATGCGTCCAGCTGAGCCCTGGTGAATTCCCCGGTCTCATAACTCAGTCGGCGCCTACCGAAAAGCGACACACAGACGGCGTTTGGATGTGACCTGCTCCATTTATGGATGTCCGGAGTGGCGTCGTGAGCGGGAGAGAGTGGGAGGGATGGGGAGAGAGTGGGAGGGCTGGGCCGTGTCTATTGCCCAGCTACGTGGACCTGGACATGTTTTAAGCCATGATATGTTTTATTGGGTTTGGCCTGATTGAAATGCTCCCGTGGGTTTTGAATTCGAAACCTCCTGATCGGAGAAGAGATCAGCACCTATTCACTTTGTAGGCATGGCTTAGCCTCACGGCTGTGGTATCAATCATCAGTAAATTGAGAAAAAGCGGGCAAAACTCTATCAATAAGGCGCTATTATAAAAAAAAAATCGCGAAACATACGAGTACATTACACGGCTGTCCCATTTCGCGGCACTTTTCTGCCGCGTATATACTGCAATCCATATTATCTTAGGTTACATGTTATACAGGATAACCATTTATCACTACTTGACTTGGTTGACATCCCATACTGCACATTCCTTGTGAATCCATTAGAAGCTCAGTACTCGGTATACGCTGCACAATTGATCAACGATCTTCCGCACAGAGGAGATACATAAGATCTTACCCACGAGACCGTCGTTTCCGCGTCGCAGATTGCTCTCTGCCGCGCGTCGGTCGCCATATTGTGCTATCCATCTACGCCAGGCGGTGGCATATGCGGCGCGATAGCGATGTTTATGGAGCGGCCCACCGGTGGCGGCGGCGGCATGAGTGGCGCAGTAGCGTTGATAGTGGCGCACACCAGGCGTGCACGCTACACACATCATGAGTCGTATGCGGCGCACTGGGGTTAGAGGAGATTATCATTCGGTTTTAGTTAGACAGTTAGGTGCCACAAAACAGTGAAACCGCATAGCTTGAGAAGTGGTGACTAATTGATAAGCTTTACCGTGAAATGTCTTCATGCATTGCTGGAATATTAGACTTGTGAGGTATACACATTACATTAACCCGCGCACCGACGGGGGTCTGCGCCAACTTCGTACCGACGGGGGGGGGGGGGCGGATGACCGCCCCCCCCCCTGAGATCTCGAGAACGAAGCAAGATAGCGACAAGCGGTAAACGGCATGGGATACGCACGGACAAGGTCTACAATTTTTACACAGGTCATTTTCAGGTCAGGTCAAAGATGACGTCACAGGGGTCAAAAAAGTCAAAATGGCGGCGCTAGTTATGGAGAGAGTTTTTCTCGAATAACTCTCGAACTAGTCAATATAGGAACAAACTAAGGGCATCATCGTGATCCTCTCGTCAATCCGCATCGAATGGTATATATGTTGACCTCGAAAGGTCAAGGTCAAAGGTTGACGTCAGGTCACGTGACCTCGAGGTCATCATGTATATCATTCGATGCGCCTTGACGAGATGAACACAATGAGACCATCCGCGCGGCTGTATCTTGTTCCTGTACGGAGTTATTATCAAAAAACCGCTGGTGACCTTTGATGACGTCACATGACCTTACAGCTGCCCAACAGCAAAACAGACCTCAAGGTAGTGAAGGTTGATCGTATATGAGGTCATTTATGATTTATGGGGCCATTCCGACCCGTTTTAGTGGTAAAAACAGGGAGTTGATTTTTTCCCCATTGACTTATAATGGCCAGGTCGAGAAATTGACCTGACCTTAGGTCATCGATATCAAAATTCCGAGATACACAAATTGTAACTACTAATGACCTTATAACATCCTGCGACTTTCAAAGGCCTCCGACATCTACTGTAGCTCTGGCACGGTGACAAAGTTTCAAAAAAGTGACTTGAGGTTGGGTCATTCAAAGTGACTTGCGGAACTGACCTAAAAGTTAGGAGGTTCAAACTTGCACACCATGTGCAAAATTGATGAGAGAATAGTCGTACCAAATTTCGCGGCGCGCTATTCGCGAAAAACCTCAGGGGGGGGGGCGGATATCCGCCCCCCCCCCGTCGGTGCGCGTATTAACTTTAGCATAACACCGCGTTACATGACCAGTATAACGCCTTTTGGGGCGACTAACGGAGCGAGCGAGAGGGTGAGCCTTGCACGTGCGAAATTTCGAGGGGTACCTCCAGCTGACTTGTGCACGGCACCCTACTAACCGGTCTCTAGCGATGTGCCAAATTTGAGCACAATCGGCCCAGCCGTTCTCGAGATCTGGGAGCGACACCCTGCACGTGCGCACGTGCAAAATGGGTCCCAACTGACTTTTGCACGGCACCCTACTAACTGTTCCCTAACCGTGTACCAAATTTGAGCGCAATCGGATCAGCCGTTCTCGAGATCTGGAATCGACCCCTGCACGTGCGCACGTGCAGCAGCACCCCAACTCTGGCACATGGATATGCAGTGCCTAGTGGGTGCCTACCTACATGCCAACTTTCAGCGCAATCGGCCCAGTAGTTACCGAGATATTGCAACAATTACAAAACTGACACCTCTTCGTTTTGCACGTGGCACGTGCATAAGGGGTCACCCACATGCATCGGGAATAGTCCAATACTTGGTAGAAGGAATGAAGCTACCCTACAAAAATTACCGCGTGTAAATCGGTCAAGTGGTTGCTGAGATATAAGCCTCGCAAAAGCGTCGGCCGGCCGCTCATACTCAGAAATTTCTGTTAATCTAAGGAAAGACTACGCTCGCTTCGCTCGCTCCGTAATTAGTGTTTCTGTCGCATTATCACATCTCGTGACTAGTATATTTTGGAAAAAGATCGCAACATTTGTTATATTGTAAATAATAATAAATATGTAATATGTAGTACAAAGGTCAACGGTTACCTATTATTTCTTCTGGGATGGGACATTGTTAATGCCGTCTTTCCGCATGTCAGGAATGATCCTAACAACCATCTCGCAATTTTCCGTCTGCTATTTATCCCCTAGTCCAATAACACACCTTCCTGAAAGACTCTTCATGCTTCACAGACAGCAAACGGCCTCATCTTTGGTGCCCTGCTTACGTTATTCACGCTCGCGTGTTCTTTTTCTTTGCGCGCGTCCATCAAAGGCGCAGTGTTTTTCGCTTGGGTGCCATCTCCGTGTTGATTGACTAGCCAATGCGGATGGATGCGTATCAGCTATCTGCTCAATAAGGGCTCCCTGGCAACAGGTGTGTATCCACGCATTCAGTGGCAAGCGGCGGAATGGATTGGTGAATTGGTAATTTGAATCCTTCTCTGATCACTAGCATTCCAAGGATTGGGAGCGTGTGCCTATCCGTGATGATATAATCCGTGCCGGGCCGGAGCTCGGTGCCAACCATACCGGGTACAACAATCCAACAACCCAACTTGAAGAGGAAATATCATGAATGAAAATAAGCTAGTTTAAATCAATAAATTACAAAACACTTGTGCAAGCTACGATAGTTACTGAAGGATATGGACATTGCACATAAGTGATCGTAGCCAGCAATCAAAGTCGAAATATCCAGTGCTTAGTTTACAGCTCGTCAATACACATGCAGTGCTAGCTGCTAAGCGAGGAAGCAAAGCTAGTTTAAAAAAATAGCTAGCGTGAATGAAGTTAGTTACTTACCTACTTCGAGCTTCCCTTCTTCCTTCAGTGACCGAGCTCTATCGGTATTGCCACACCGCCATCATTCTTAGATCGCCTCCAATCTTTTGTAGTGTAGTTTCGCTCGTCAAAGGTGACTGATTCTGCCTACTACTGTCTTCTCTCGTATGTTTTGCTGTGAGCTAGTGTAGATATGCTAGAATCACCGGTTGTAGTACTAACAAAAACACGTAACATTAACGTAAACTAACATTTATCAACTCAAGTTCGAATAACGTAGCAGGCAGCAGCCAAGTTAGATTTGCAGCAGCTGGCATTTCTGCTTGTCCAGCATACACATACACTGTACTAACATTTTCATAATTTCTGTCTGTTGCCAGCTTCCAAGTTGAACGGTCGGAGCAACAACGTCTGAGGACAGCACTCGACATCACTTCCGACTCATCATATCCGGTTAAGTACTTCCGGTTCTGCGTCTGCCACCGGAAGCAGTGAACTTCCGGTGACATGTCAACGGAAGTAGCGGATTTCCGGTGACATTCCTGGCTGCATTCATCATGAGGATAGCAAGAGTGGTGACCATAAGGTCCGAATGGATCCTCTACTACACCGGATGCCACTCACTTCCGGTTCTTCTAAAGGCTTCTTCCGGCTCTTAACGTACCGTACCCCACTTCCGACTCTCTGGGTAAAGTTTTGAGCGACGCAATGCTGCAAGTCAGCGGCTTGCAAGGGAAGCTGAAGGTACGAATGCCATTCGAAGTTCGATCGATGTAGTAACACCGGATAACTCGACGAACAAACCAAGACCCCATGTCACCCGGTACAACACGAGCCGTGGTAAAACTCAACAGCAGAAAGCTTCCCTAAGCCACCGGGGTCACTGAAGACATCTGGTACAACAATCGCCATGGTACGGCGACAGTCGCGATTTTCCTCGCAGAAGTGACGACCCGGTTGGAGTGCGGCTGCGGGGTCACACACTCGATGACCTTTCTCTTCAGCTGACCACTGAAGCGACGCTACTGGTGATTTGCATGTCACCACTGGTGTATCCACGCTGTTTCCGGAACACTGTCCGCAAGTGTGTCCGAAGTTGTGTCCGTACCACAGGTCCTGCACAAACTACAAACATGTCGGCGTAGTTATAAACTCAGAGAAGTGCTGAAAAAATAGCTGACGCTGGCGCAAACGACAGGAATGTGGACACCTACCTAATAGACGCTGTTCTCAGTGAGCTGGGTGGTCATCGATAATGTCTGAGACTGGTGTGTGCAAAGCAGTGGTGCACCTAAGCTATCGCTATGGACTGGAGTGTAGTGATGGGGCTGGAGAGGACTGTGCGAGGAAGAAACACCAAGTGTGGAATTACTCAGTACAGACTGCAGAGCGACGCTGGGAAAAGTGAGGGAGGTAGAGGGAGACTCGAAAGCAGGTGAGCTCAGGGTAGAGTGAAGGAGGAATCTGGATAGAGTGAGAGAGGAAGAGGGACGCTCAACGAGTGCGGCGTTGATAGATCGTAACGATGCGACGGGAAATATTCGCGACTCGGGACAGGAAGTGATCGTGAACACGGCTGGGTTTGGGGAACTGACAAAACCGGAAAGCGTGAGCCAGATGGCTGGCTGCGGCGGCTCAACATAGCAGAATTCATGGATTTCTGTCTACCGCCTCTGCAGCCACCAGGCCAGTTCACAACCGGACGTATGCTGGTCATGACTAGCAAATGAACTGTCATAAACCTGACGGCAGTGGCGCGGGAACCGGGGGGGCTAGGGGGGGCTGAGCCCCCCCAGCTTTTCGGCTGGGGGGGCTCGTAATGTATTTGAGCCCCCCCCAGCTGGAGGAATCGAAATCGGAAAATCTACCAAC